CAGCCGATGGAAATTCAGCCCGACAGCAGTGTGAATTCACACCCAACTATTAAGTCGCTGACTGGCCAGCCAATAAAACTAGTGATAGCCAAAAGTACAATGTACATGGACTGTATGTACCCAAACAGTCTTTAAAGCAAGTTTCACTCTCTCACATAGGCATGAGATTGTCAATTAAAAAAAAAAGTCTGGAAATTGGATGAAAGGTCAGAAACATGCATTTCTTTCTATACTGATAATGTCTTTCTCTCAGATTCCTGTCTGATTTCAAACATAAGTCCGAAAAATCTCAAGCTGGCTCTCGATTTTGCAAAACTCCTTCCTCAATTTGATACTCGACACAAAACAATTCTTGAAATCACTAGACCCGGGTCAATGTGCTTATGGGTCATGCTCCAACCACAAAGTCCTTGATCTACAAAAATCCTCCACTGAGCAGGAAACGAGGAGCACATTCTTTAACTGTACTTTTACTGTCAATAAAGAAGATCAGACCCCATAAATATTCATCTGTGTACACCTCTTACTGACATGTAATCCTGCAAAATCTTCCCAATCTCTGGTTGATTTTGAACAAAGATCTTTAACAGAGGTACATGTGTACTTTATAGAATCATTTGCTTCATGTGCTCTTTTCCTATTAAAGCAACATAATTGCTCAAGATCTTAAGTAGAACAACTAAAGCCTGTCGCACACCTTTTGGGGTGTGCACCAAATTCGGACCGATCTGACCGTACACCGAGCGACCGCATGAAATCAAACATGTTTTATTTTTACGCATCTGATTTCACCGGATCCAATGTCACCGGAAAGGTGTGCGGGCAGCACTCTGATTTCACCAGACGCGATATTTATGTTACAGGATTCAAATTGACGGCTGCCATTTTGTCATCATGTGACTGGTCATCATGTGACTGATCATCATGTGACCTATTATAGAATGGAATCAGGCAAGTGTGCAGGTACATGTAATGTTAAGGTCTAACCGCAATATTTAGCAACAAAAAAAAGTACCGATGATGGGGTGCTCCGGTGAACCTGTAAATTTGGAAAGGTGCGTGCCGGGAGTGGCAACCATACATTTTGAGAAAACAGAGAGAAAACATTTTCATTTTTCACGTCTCATAAATGGGCTCCATTCATTGCTAAAGCACATTAAAAAAAAAAGTGTGCCCCCGGGCACACTTTTTTTAACTGTTTTCTTCCTAACGATACCATTTCAATTGGAATATTTTTTACAGGGTATTTTGGCACCATCCCTATCTTCCCTTTGGGATTGTCTTTTCTCGTTAAATTGATGGGGGTCTGATTCAGTGTTTTAGAAATGCTGTGTACACATTGAGCATACTGTGCAATTAACAGATTTCTTTATATTATAAAGTTCAACATGTATATCAAATCAAACACAACATTATAATAAAACCAGGCTTGTCTTGTCAAGCCGAGTCCAAACCTCTGCTTACATTTGTAGGACAAGTTTATGCCTGTACTTAGCAACTACATGTACAATGTACATGCATGTACCGGTACGTGTACAAAGGGTATCAGGTCAACTCGGACCCAAACCAAGTCGGACCCATGCCAAGTCGGACCCATGCCAACTTGGACCCACGCCAACTCGGACCCACTACCAACTCGGACCCACTACCAACTCGGACCCACGACCAACTCGGACCCACGACCAAGTCGGACCCACGACCAACTCGGACCCACTACCAACTCGGACCCAAGCACGACCAACTCGGACCCAACAATGACTCAATCATTAGTTTCAGAGATTATATTGATAGGTGATCTTAATAAAGTGAAGATATTGTGTAATTATATTGGGCAGAATGGGGCTTTTAATTTTGTTGTTTTCTTTTATTGCCGCTGTGTGGAGCGCTATTTTATGATGCGTACAGTAAATACTGTTGCTAAACGCTTATCGTTTTGAACGTCATGAAACTAAACGTGCTTAGCTTTTTGAAACCGTGACCTGTGAAGCTAAACCAATAGATATTAATAGCGTATAGTATAGGTTAGGCATATCGTATGTCATTTGTACAACTTGATATATACGTGCTTTTTCAAAATCTCGATTTTCTTTTTAATTCACATGCTGGCTTTTAAATTTTGTGGGTTTTTTTTACGAATCCGATTAACTTTTTATACTTTTTGATTTAACTTTTTTGTTTAATATGGAACCTTCGTTTTTCTTGCAATGTATGCAATGGTGTTTATGTGGGTTTTTTTAATAGAGATTAGAAAAGACTTCGTTTTTATATCTTATTTATTTTATTTATTGACTTATAATGTTTACTAATATTTATTGAGTTAATAATGTTATGTTTGAAAGTGTTTATGTTTTAATGCCATACTTTCCAATTTTATTTTTAATGAAGATCTGTTCTTAATTTGTATACTCGTTACGTTGAAGTTGATTACAAACGAAATAAATTTCTGTTAAATTTAGCAAGATGGTGTGAACGATGTCAATTAATATGTTTTAATGAAAATAAATATTTGGTTAAACTTTTAAAGCGCTATATGTTTTAATGGAAACAAATAAAAATAATCAATAATTAATTACACTTTTAAAGCGCATTTCAAAATAGCATTTCAATGCGCTTTACAACGACAAAAATGTTATACTGCTGCAATACGGGTATGAGATAATTTACCTTACAATTACAATGAAAATTTACACTAAACAGTATCACTGTAATAATAGATGAGAAGTGGACAAACTTTATGAAATGGATCGAAACCGTACAAAGTCAGTATTCAGAGCACAATAGGCTGGCTCTATGGGCCCAACACAACAACAAAAAGGTTTCAACTATCCCGGGTATTGACTGAATCATTTTCTGGCATGTGTCTGGTCTATACAACAATTTCTTCTACTTCCCCTGCAATTTGTATACATAACAGGAAAAACAAAAGGAAAATCCTCTCAACAGACAAAAGAGGTGTCTGGTGGATACAGCTGGCAATGTATCAATCGCCTCCAGTCAAAGCATGGTTTTACAAGTATCTAAATTACATTGTAACAAGGGAATTCTTAACTGTTAAAAACAGTCACTTGACGATCAGAGCGTCGAGTTTCACAACCAGCCAGTTTTTTTTTCAGAACCACACATCTTCTGAAGAGAGATTCTTCCACATGGTGTTACCGCAAACCCTCACTAATTTACACTACATTTACCACCATGCAAAGTTTCAATCTTACTATCAGTCACTTGATTGATTTTGACCGTTGTGATGGCGTAGCCGAATCTGTCATCTGTACATTTCGAATGATAATAGGGAGTCGGGAACTAGGGCAGCTTTTATGGGCGGGAAACCAGTTCAAGGCTAGTTTCCGACTCCCTTTTACCGTTCGAAATGCACTTGTGTTTATAAACGTGATCCAGATTAAAAATGTGATCCAAACGTGATCCAGTCTTCTCATTATCATAATCGATGCACTGGGCTCGGTAACGGAATCACACTTGGGATACGGGGACCATCGAATGTACGCTGGGCATGATGACCAAATCGCATCGTTCAAACATTTACACAAGTCGGAAATTTAACGTGTTCAGGATCGCGAGGGGAGCTCTTGGAATTGAAAGGGAAATTTCACTCTTCATCCGGCTCGTAAGTTAACTTCAGTACAACCATCTTAATCATCGATGTCTACTTGTACCTCAGGTGGCGTATCTAGTAATTTGTAAGCCATTTGGAGGGTGAAATCTGATATTTTTGTTAGGCAATGTTGCGTTTTGGGGTCAAGTACAAAATTGTGTCAATCGACTGATGCGGTTTAGCTTGGACCCTACTATCGCCAGACCATGTGTTGTCCGAATGTTAAAAAGGCGATAAGTTGGGCCCAAGTTACTCAGACTAATAGGGAGTTAGCAAGTTAGGGTTAATAAATGTCTAGAAACTCAGCATTCATGCAAATTTAACCTGTCAAACAATCCTGATGACTTCTAGTTCACAATCAGACAAGTGTCTGACTTAACCATCTCCGACATTCATGTAATTTTTTTATTGCAAAATAGTAATACAGTCCGTGTCATTCAACATACATTTTTTTGTGTAATTCCTGAATTTGATCCTTGTATTCATTCGTTCGTTATTACACATCTCAAAAAACATATAATTAGGCCTAATTTATATAGGCCTAGTAACATTTCTATTTATTAAAGGCAGTGGATATTTTGCCGGAGACGGCAAACCTTCAGTAAACGTTAGTTTGCCGGATATGCACTGAACATGCGCAGTTACTGTTTTTTTGTACTTAAACATTTTCCGGTGACAAATTTTAGTCTGACTCCATGCCAATATTATCGTTGTATTTTTGTATTAACAAGATGGGAATCAGACCATTTTATAATTTCGGACTTTATTTCCCTTTAAAAAAAATCCTCCAGAGCCACAAATCTGAAAAAGAAAAAGTAATACTCTGCAATAAAATGTTTGTTACATATTAAAATAATAAGAGAAGAATATTCTTATTTATTTGGGGATTGAAAAAAAAACCTCAAAATTGTGGCGGGGGTCAGGATTCGAACTCGGGACATCCTACTCACTAGAGCTATTGTTTAACCACTGCACCAACTGTGCTACACAAAATTTGGTGGGAATTTAATACATGTTATAATTCAGCCCTATCTTAAAGAGTACAGCGCCCTCTGTTGATATGGATTGCCGCCGGGAAACCTTGCCCTTTAGTAAACGTTAGTTTGCCGGCGTTACCTCCGGCAAAATATACACTACCTTTATTAAATTACATAAAAGATGTTGGCATATAGTTTTACATTCTTTCTTTAACGATATAACCTAATATTATAAGTGGAAGGGGATCCCCCAAAAAACAGAGCTTGTCATACTTGTGGAGCTCAGTAGGGATCCCCTTTACTTTAATAACACCAATTTGCACGTGAATTTTAAAGAATAACTTAAGGAGATCTATGTACTAGGCCCTATAATTATAAATTCACACTGTTTTTTTGGGGGGGGGGGGAAATACCTTATTGAGGCTTCCAGTTGCTCAGTCATCAGATCAGTGGGTGATAATCCGTCACTTCTAGTAGCTGATTTGCCTTTGCTGGGCCTACTTTCATTTTCAGGATCCGCCATAATGTTGCCAAAGAAGTTAGTGTTTAGTTGTTCGGGGCCGGGGACAGACTTGGCTTTGAAATGAACTTCTATCACGTCAAACTGTTTACCTAAAGTTTCCACATCAGTACAAAATGCAGCCCCAGGAATATAGGTGACCACTGGATTGTCACCAGTGGTGATCGGTGGGTCAGTCGAAGGGCTTTCGGCCCCCAACTAACACCAAAATGTTCCCTAATTCATCGTGATAGCACTCATTTTCCAGCATTGCCAATGTTAATACGATCGCATGACAGAAAATACACAAAATCAGCATAATACACAATGCACATGTGCATAGCACGCTTTTAGCTGGTTTCCCATCAGTATGCAAAAACCACAACAGAAAGATGGGTACCATGGAAATATAATTCTGTTCAGCAGAGGGCGCTATTCCAGATTCATGGGCATACTTTTAGCACTTGTACATCAGTATATGTACATCAATCAATCAAAATCTTTAATTTTTACCAACACATACATGTACATATACAATTATTTACCATTCCAATTATTCAGTATGGATGGAGGTCTCCAAAAAGCATGAGCTTGTCTAGTGGAGACCCCACGGTGTGCAAAATAATAATGAGTATACATATATCGGGGGCCGCTTACCTGTACCTCCCACCACAGATGTACAATTCTAACCCTAAAAAGCCGGAACTTTTGTGGGGATTTTGTCAGACGGAGCCGGACCCTTCATTTCTACCAAACCTCAATTGTACAGCCATATATAGAATGTGATCCTCTACTTGGTCGGTATAAGCGTATTGGGGACTCATTGCACTAATTAGCCAGTCCACAAGAAGGGCGTCAACACTAACCACTGAGCTATTATTGCCGAAATAGGCTGTAGACGAAAATCCGGGGTTCTCACTTTTGCAAATTGAGGTAAAAATGCAAGATATATTCCCAACCGCTCCACATCATTTTTTTTGCATTATTAGGAAGAAGCCCAGTAGGCCCCAGCTCCTTAAGCCGACCCTTAGCACCCAGGCCTCGATTAAAAAGGGGGGGGGGGTGTTTGGTCTAATTAATGTCGCTCCGCCTCTATAGACCCAGAAGTGGGGCTTTGTGAATGAAATCTTTCGAGTAATTGGAAGCCATAAGCCAAATGCTTCTTTTTTTAGTACTATAACATTGTATATTTTAATGAATATAATATTAAATATATTTGTATTCATTACGACTCGAAGGCATAGAAATAAACATGTACTCTACTCTACTCTATCAACAGCCGAAATTTCAATTTCATACAACAAATACTTCTTGAGTTATTGGCCCCTTTTTTGTTGAATTAAAAATGAAGACGCTATTTCTTGCTTAACAATACTTCTTGAATATCAGTCGTCGTAGAAACATCACAAGCAATCAACAGACGAAATTGCATTTTCATACAACAGATATTTCTTGAGTTATTGGCCCCTCAAAGAGCATAGGCATAGCCAGCGAGGGGGGGGGGCAATATTTTGTAAAGACTGCCTTTTTCCATTCAAATCCCCTTTTTTTCAATGGGCTTACCCATTTAAATTTGTCCGGGGGGGACACATTTACCGGGGGGGGGGACAGAATTACCTGCCACACCGTAAAGACATACATCCGCACGCCGTAGATTATTTTAAGTTTTGTTCAATAGAGGGCGCGCCACATAAATAGTGGTCTCAACAACGCATCAACACGGATGCTGCACAACTGAACAAAAAGAACAAACTCGTTTCCGATGAACTACTCAGGAAATACAAAATGGATTAAATTGAAATTTCGTGCAATTAGTTTTCACGATGTGTAGCATAAGTAGTTTGAATGGCGTGAGAAACCGTGGAGCTATCAATACAATATGATCGTAACAATCTAGTGTTTTAAACGTTAAAAATCCATGTTGACTTCCATTAGGATTGTATTTGTTGCAAATAAAATCCTGTATTGTTACGGTCATAATAGCTTGATTAATTGATGTTTTTTTTATGAAATGAAATCTTTTGATGCCAAACATCATGACAAATGAGTGTACGAAAATTCATTTTAATGTAACGTGTATTTCTTGAGTTGTTGGCCCGAAATCGAGTTTGGTGGTGGAGATCGAGACCACTATAATATAGAGGGCGCGCCACATAAATAATGGTCTCGGCAACGCATCAACACGGATGCTGCACAATTGAAGAAAAAGAACAACCTCGTTTCCGATTAACTACTCAAGAAATACAAAATGGATTAAATTGAAATTTCGTGCAATTAGTTTTCACGATGTGTAGCATAAGTAGTTTGAATGGCGTGAGAATCCGTGGAGCTATAAATACTATATGATCGTAACAATCTAGTGTTTTAAACATTAAAATCCATGTTGGCTTACATGAGGAGTGTATTTGTTGCAAATAAAATCCTGTATTGTTATGGTCATAATAGCTTGATTAATTGACTTTTTTTCTGAAATGAAATCTTTTGATGCCAAACATCATGACAAATGAGTGTACGAAAATTCATTTTAATGTAACGTGTATTTCTTGAGTTGTTGGCCCGAAATCGGGTTTGGTGGTGGAGATCGAGACCACTATAATATAGAGGGCGCGCCACATAAATAGTGGTCTCGGCAACGCATCAACACGGATGCTGCACAATTGAAGAAAAAGAACAACCTCGTTTCCGATGAACTACTCAAGAAAAACAAAATGGATTAAATTGAAATTTCGTGCAATTCGTTTTCACGATGTGTAGCATGAGTAGTTTGAATGGCGTGAGAATCCGTGGAGCTATAAATATAATATGATCGTAACAATCTAGTGTTTTAAACGTTAAAAATCCATGTTGACTTCCATTAGGATTGTATTTGTTGCAAATAAAATTCAGCTTGCACGACTGGCCATACGTGGCATGTAGAGGGCGCACTTCCAAAACTATGGTCGCATTAAAGTTCACTTTACGGGGGGGGGGGCAATATTGCCGCGTATGAGGGACACAATCGGTCCGCGATATGGGGGAACAAAGTTTTCCGCGACTATATAACGGGGGACAAAGTTGTTCCGCGACTGGGAACAAAAGTTGTCCACGATTTAGGAGACAAAATTGTCCGAGATATGTCGTCCAGGGATAAAATTGTCCGCGACTTTGGGGACAAAGTTGTTCCAAGTCTTGGGGGACAATGGTCCATGATAATTATGGGGGACAACGTTTACTGGGGGACAAATCAAGTTGTTCGAGTTTTTGGGGACAAAGTTGTCCGCGATTTGTTGACAATCTTGTCCGCAAACTTGGTGACAAAGTTGTCCCAGAGACTGTTCGTGAATTCGCGGAAGTCCCTGCTTTTCGCGGACAAAATCTGGCAGACCTCTTATAACTTTACACGAGCCTCAACAGACGAAATTTAATATAATACAATTATTTCTTGAGTTACTGTCCGCCACGGTGACAGTGCAGACAAAATACGGTACGGTGACCACACTGTCTGCAAGATAGAAGGCGAATGCGGTGATCGTGCGCAACTGTCAGCTATAAAATAGGGGGCGGGCGCTATCACAAACACACCGGTATAATCACTGGCGCGCTGCATGCTGCGAGTACCGTGAAATTGGTTAGCTTTATTAAATATGTTAACTTAACTGCTCAATCATTCTTCATGATATTTCACAAACGTTTTCAATACATCAGAAGCAAATTAAGAAACGAAAACTCAATGTAATTCAACAGATGTTTCTTGAGTTATTGTACCCGAACAACGAGCGTGTTGTTTTAGTTAGTAATAAAATTTGATTCGCGCTAAAGGCACGCTATTGTTTTGGATGTTTTAATGTTATTGCTTGACAGCTCTTCTAAATACATGTTATGAAAAACCGTCTTTAAAAACACCACAATCAATCAACGGACGAAATTTCAATTTAATACAACAGATATTGCTTGAGTTGTTGGCCCCACATCGAGTGTGTTGTTTGTGCTGACTGAGACACGCTATTCGTTTGAATGTATTAATTTGATTCCTTTACAATTTTTCTTGATATTTATAAGCCGTCTTTAAAAAACATCACAAGCAATCAACTGACAAAATTTCAATTTAATACAATAAATATTTCACGAGATATTACGAGTATGTTGTTTTTGTTGGAAGTTTTTCGTTACACTGAGCGACAGTGATCACTTGCACCGTGATTTTGTTATGGCGCCCTCTATCTTCGTTTGCACTTGATCACTGTTATTTGGTTATGGCGCCCTCTATTTGACTGAATCCGTATCCCATGAGGGCGTGCTGTAACGTAAACGCAAATTTAGTCGGTTCGAGCATCGAGAAAATGGCAGGAACCGTGCGACCAAGGTGAGAATGATTCAGTGTTATGTTTGCACTACCCTGTGATTTACTTTAAGTTTTTGCAGCTACATATACAGTCGTTTGGGGGGGGGGGGGGGGGATTGTGGATCCCAGTCTCCCCCAACACTTCCTTCCAAATACCGTATTCGGAACATAGGGGATATTGCCGGAGGTAATGCCGGTTCTGATTCTGGTTCTGGTCATGCTGGTTGTTACTGTGCAAACACCTCTTAAGTGGTTATCTCGCACAGGTCGTAGTGGTTGGCGCAGTGAACTAAATTTTAAAGTGGGCCTTATACTGTTATAGCTGAGGAGATCTAGGTGCTCAATTCCCTCTTTGAAAGCTTTGACATTGGGAGCAGAGCGAATGTTTGGTGGTAGCAGGTTCCATTCCCTTTTAGTTCTTGGGTAGAGTGAATATTGATAGCACAGTTTGTTGAAATTTGGCGGGACAATGATATGACAATTGACATGTATGAGGACCGAAGTTCTGTCTTGTTGCATGATTGTTGTTACTCTGGCTTGACGGCAGGTTTGATGGTATGATATTGTGGACTTCCTTGTAGATTGTTGTCAGTCGTAGTCGGATTCTGCGGAGTTCGAGGGTGTCCCATTTGAGAGAAGACAGCATGCTGTTAATGCTGGATCTCCGCTTGTAATCATTACATACGAAGCGGGCTGCTCGCCGTTGTACTTTCTCTAAGTTGATCTTATTGTTGTTGTTGAAGGGGTCCCATACGGCTCCACAATAATCCAGTTTGGGTCTTACTAATGACTTGTATGCGTTCTCTTTGACGGATTTACTGCATGCGTGAAGATTTCTTTTAAGAAGGCCGAGGGTTCTATAGTATTAGCTTTCCCAGTCAGTTGATTTATATGTGTTGCCCAGCTTAAATCCTTGCTTATTTCGACACCAAGGTATGGGTGACGGTCAACTGCCACTAGTGTGTGACTGCCCATGTTGTATTCTGAGATGAGTGGTTTGACCTTGTGTGAGACATGCATGGTATGGCATTTAGCTGCATTGAAGGACATCTGCCATGTTCTTTCCCAATCACAGAGAGCGTCCAAATCTTTCTGCAAAGACAAGCTGTCCTCTGGCGATTTAATCTCCCTGTAGATTATTGCATCGTCTGCGAAGAGGCGAACTCTAGATGAAACTTCGTTTGGCATGTCGTTTATGTACAGCAAAAAGAGTAAGGGGCCCAACACAGTCCCTTGAGGTACACCTGAAGTCACTGGTGTTTCTGCAGATGTTTCTCCCTCTAGTAAAACTCGCTGGTGTCTTGTTGTTAGGAAGATCTCAATCCACTTCAGGAGGCTGTTGTTGATTCCTACATGGCTGAGCTTGTACAGGAGACGTTTATGGGGGACGGTATCGAACCTTACTAAAGTCTAGTAGTATCGTGTCTGTCTGGCTTTTATTATCAAGCCCAGCAAGTTGGGTATCGCATGATCGACCCTGACGAAATCCATGCTGGTGGTTTGTGAGTACTTTGTGGAAATCAAGATGGTCCATGATATGCCGGTGAATTATATGTTCAAGAAGCTTGCATGGTATCGAAGTAAGTGAAATTGGCCGATAATTAGCCGGGCTTGTCCGATATCCCTTCTTGTAAATAGGAACGATGTTGGCATTCAACCAGTCTTCTGGGAGTTTCCACTGTCTACAGACTTATGAAAGATCTTTTGGAAGACTGGAGCTATACTTGCTGAGCAGCTCTTCAGTATTCTAGCTGGTACCTGGTCAGGCCCGGATGCTTTCTTTGATTGGATTTCCTCTAGCAATTTTTGCACCCCGTTTGTTGTTATGTTGAGGGCTGAAATTTTTGGAGTTGGATTTGAGTTGAGTGACGGGAATTCAGCAAGGTTTTCTTCAGTAAAGACCGAGCAGAACTGGTGGTTTAACGCTTCGGCTTTGTCGGCTGGTAGAGACACTGCACGCCCCATCGTTGTAAGGGTTGCGATTCCAAAAACTTCCTGGCTCATTGACTTGATGTAATTCCAGAAGGGCTTTGTGTTTTCTGTCTTCAAGCTTTCTCCTATCACATCATGGATGTACTTGTGATGAGCTTTCCTGATTTGTCTGTCAATTGAACGGCGTACTTTCTTGAAGTCTGTCCATGCTGAAGCTGTTCCAGATCTTCTTGCCCGATTGTACAACTTTTGTTTTTTCCTAATTGCTCGTCTAACTGTTGAATTGACCCATGGTAGATTATGTCTTGTTGAACTCAGTTTTGAAGGAATATGACGATTCATAGCCCCGACGAGAACTTGTTTACCGTGAATAATCCGACTCCAGCGTGAATATCCGACTCCATGAAATGTGGACTCATTGGTAGTACTGCGCACGCGTGAGTACAATACTATGCTATTTTTAGGATCGTTTCGGGAGAGTGACCTGTCACGTGCGAGGGATCAACCAATAATAGGGAAATAGGGGTCCGATTTTCATAGGAGTCGGATTTTCATGTGACACCGGGTTCGATCCCGATCCCCGTTGGCGACATTTTAAAAGTTTTTTCCCCATCCCCAAAAAATAACAAAAGGGGCATATTCTTCTTTTATTATTTTAACATGTCTCAAACATTTTATTGCAGAGTATTAGGCCGAATAAAAAAAACTGTTCAAAGACACTTTTAAAATGAAAGATAAGTTGGACAAGAGAACTGAACATATTTACAGTGTCATTTAGACTTGTTTTGGTCTACAATTTATTTTCCAATGAATTTGTGGACTTTTCGGTGTTTTTTTACTGCATTTTTTAAAAATAAAAAATAATACAAAAATCCAGGTGGCCTCCAAAAAGGAAGCGGGCGGGGACGAGAAACGTGGGTTTTTTTTTACTTCGCCTTACATTTTCTTTTTCAGATTTGTGGCTCTGAAGGCTTTTTTTTTTAAAGGGAAATAAATTCCAAAATTGTAAAATGGTCTGATTCCCATCTTGTGAATACAAAGTAACAACGATAATGTTGGCATGGAGCCAGACTAAAATTTGTCACCGGAAAATGTCCCCAAAAAACCCAGTAGCTGCGCATATTCAGTGCATATTCGGCAAGCTAACGTTTACTAAAGGTTTGCGATCTCCGGCAAAATATCCACTGCCAAAAAAAACAACATCGGCCAACAAAAACATCAGATTTATCTCAAAACGGCCTCCAAATTACTAGATATGCCACCTGAGGTACAACAACGTTGTTTGAACAACGCGATGTGGACGTACGTGCCCAGCGTGCATTCAATGGTCCCAGCACGATTCCGTTACCGAGTGCGATGCATGATTATGATAATGAGTAGACTGTATCTTGTTTGTACACACAAGTGCATTTCAAACTATTATACGGAGTCAGGAACTAGGGCAGCTATCAGCGGAAACCAGTTCAAGCTAGTTCCCCACTCCGTATCATAGTTCGCAATGCAGTTTGTAAAAACGAGATTGATTCAGGTATCTAAAAAGTTTTGGGTCTGAAGTTAACAATAATGAATACGTTTTTTGGTTTTTTTTACAGTGTAAAAATAGGGGCTGGTGCAGTAGTGTGCGTGGAGGCTGAACTCCGTGGTGATATTACGATAGGTAAGCACGAGATTCTGGGCAAGGTACTTAAGTCCCCATATGCCTCACCTAGTCCAGGGGTGTGAATGGGTCAGCATTAGCTGCAATGGAATGATATCCTATACAGAGGGAAAAAAATATATTTTCAGTCGTGTCAGTCAACTGGAAAGATACTCGATGAGCCATATTGGCTTAAGACAGACGTCTTTTTGGTTATTTTGGCATACTGACTTACCAAAACAGCTCTTGTTTTCTTTCCAATTTTTTTCCTCAATTTTTTTCTTTGTAATACAGTTTGTACAGTTTCATACTACAACCCGCTTTTGGGTTCTTTTGTATAACTGGGTTCTGAGCAACTTCAAACTTGACACATTCATAGACAATCAACTAAAAAAGGTGTACCAAACAATGATGTCATGATGACATCATCATGTGTCACGTGACATCACATTCAAGGTGGATTTTTCAAAGGCCCACATCTATTGAAGTACAGGTCTGATTTGGTTCAAACTTATGTGAAATTAAAGTGACATCATGATGACACGATCGTGGGAATTATAAGAGAGTTTTGAATTGTTTACTCTTGTTTGAATTACAAGGTGCCAGGACCGTGGTGCATCCTAAGGCACGGATCATCGCCGAGGGAGGACCCATTGTAATTGGAGAGAGTAACTTGATTGAGGAACAGGTGGTCATCATCAACAGGTGTGTGTTCAGTGCAAGTTTAGGGTCAGTCTGTGAGAAGAAGAGGAATGGAACAGTAAAGTCATCCCAGTTATTAAAATGCACACAATTAAGGTCAAGCAAGGACCCTTCATATAGTGCTTGGGGGGGGGGGGAGGATCAGCTCCATCACCCTTTAGTTTTGTACAATACCTTCTAAAGTTTTTTTTTACCCATACAATAATTCCCAGCAAATAAGCCATTTGCGAGTGAAATTTGAATGAAATCTGGAACGCTGACTTAATCCAATGCTTTGCACGTTATAACTTTGCATTCTCCCGACCAAAGAGACTGTTACTATATCACGTGATTCGGGGCAAGCCTTCGGCTAGCAACCCCCAGCTCCGGAATGGTCTGGTGTCTTTGTGCCATTCTCACCCATTGTGAACAATGTATTGATGCTGAGTGTCTCTTTAATACGTAACTATGCAAGAGCTTGCCCCGAATCATGTGATTAGCAACAGTGTCTTTGGTCTGGAGAATTCAAAGTTAAAATGTGCCAAGCAATCTGAGCAAGTCAGTGTACCAAATGCTTTTCAAATTTAAATCCTAAAGGGCAGAGGTCACTCGCAAATGGCTTATTTTCTTCTCAGCAAGAACTTGAATCTTGGAATGAACATCAACCATGACCCAGAGGTGCGCATAAAAATGTTAATTTAACTGGCTAATTTTGTTTTCAAATGGTGGCTGCTTATATAGTCGTGTTCCCTAACGTGGTGCACTTCAAAGCTTACCCAACTTTCCTCCTGTAGTGTTGCCAAACCTCTTTGTTGACAAACCTCAAATTCATGCAGTGAAATGCTAGTACTTTTACCTTATTAATGCTTGCTATTTAACCTCTGTGAACACTTTCGGTTTCATAAATTTTATCGAAATACAAAACTGGTGGCGTCCGGAAATTGGGCACAAATTGGCGGAGTGTTCCCTAACGTGGCTGGCGCACTTGAATAAATCTCGGAAAATTCTAAATTAACATTTAAGAATTTCTGTAAACTTGATAAATTCTGATAAATCATTATTATCTCTACTTACAAACCCAGCCAAATGTTTGTCAGAAAATTATTTTCTTATTTTTCGGGGCATTTTCAAAAGCTTCACTTTGCACTTGAAAATAAAATCGGAAATAAACTCGCGATTTATGAACGGGAGTGTTTAGAACTTGATGAAATTTCACTTTCTGTGAAATTTCAGTTAAAACTTTTGCTCTAGCTAGGCGCTACAGGCGAAAAATCAAAGTGCGCCACGTTGGGGGCCGTGCCACATTAGGGTACATCAACAATATTAGGCCAACCATCATTTGGTATCAAAACTGTGGCTGTGACGTAGCAAAAGAAAGGTCTGCACACCATTTTTAACTAAATTGTTTTCTTGATATCACTGGCTAATAAGATGTGGGGGATAAACTTGTGATTTGTGTTTTCTTTCCGTACAGGCAAACTGAGGGCTCGCCAACTAAGGAGGGCGGACAGAAGATGGTGATTGGGGCTAACAATGTCTTTGAAGTTGGCAGCTGTATCCTTTTGTAAAAAAAATCCACTGACGAAAGAACAGCTTGGTTCAGTATTTTATGAATCAGTACCAGATACAATTTTTCGCCTTGCATCTTATGATGCTCATTCTGTTGTGTAAGATTGAGGTGCCTAAGTGGTCCTGCAGTTGCAGGATTTCGCACTTTTTCAAAAATTGCATAATTGTCTCTGGAAACGTCATTTTGTGCCAAAAACTACCCCACTCTGGACTGAAGAAAAAAGAAACATAGTGCTCAACTTTACTTGACTAAAGACAGGTCTAATCAAAGTTAGATTTGAATCACTAAATTAACTGGGGCACTTAGTGAAACTGTTTGCGAATGCTGCATACATTTTACGACTCTTTTGAGTAGGGAAGTGTGGTATGGCGGTTAGTGACTCATGATCAGTGGGTCAGGGGTTCGAATCCAGCTGCTGGCCATACGTTGTGTCCTTGGGCAAGCCACTTCATCCCAACTTGGCTCTCTCCTCCCAGGAGTATAAATGGGTACCGATATCGGCTGGGTAGTAACCTGCAATGGACTGGCATCCCATCCAGGGGGAATAGAAATATTCTGAGTCGTTTCATGCCACTGAAACCAGGGATAAACGCCGGCCTGATGGGCCATATTGGCTCGGGACAGACTTTACTTTACTTTGAGTGGAGTGCCAACTTTTTGATGACTTGTTGTTTCTTGAATGTAGCCCCTGTCCTTAACAGAATTTCTGAATAGGCTGCGAAGCACTTCGTGTCGGTGACAACAATGTTATTGAAGCAAAAGGTAAATAGAAGCATAATTAACAAATTGTCTCGTCCTAAAAATGAACAGTACTGAAAACTAATGGATACCATTTGCAAACATTCAAAAATGACACAATTAACAAAGCATTAGAAGCTCCGCAGTACGTGATCACATTCCAGGCAGTCAAGTTATAGGTTCTCAATGACTGCCGGCTGTCTATTGTGTCAGTTATATACAATGTATACAATTTATTGTTTTATGTTTTCAACATGCCACTGCCACAAGATCGACGCTCATTGTGCTGATTTTTAATAAATTGATGTTGGTGGTTTTTTTTAACACGCCCAAGTTCAAACAAACTGGGGCGTCAACCTTTGTGAAGTGGTTAAGTGTTTAAACGTTTAACCGTGCTAAATAGTTTTGCTAAAATGTTAAAAAAATTAAATGCAAAGTCCCATCCTTATTTTGTTTGAGGTAAATTGTACAGTTATGTTCACAAAATTTATGGAAAAGAATTTGGAGGATAAAGGTAAAAAGGGGAAATTAAGGTATTTAGTTTGATGGAGCAGTTATAAACATTATGTTCAAAACCCAGCTAGGGGCCTGGTCGCCGATAAGAGTCCACAGCTTAGGTTTGGGCCATTTTTGATGGCCAGGCCCCTAACCGGTTTTAAAATCACTCCCTTATTTAAATTAAATTGACCCCTATGTCAAATGTCATTCGGCCAACAACACACTGGCTGTTTTCAGACTCTGTATCCCTCACGAGGTGATTTTGAGGCCATACTCAGAATAACCCCATCTTCTCTTGAGGGTTGGTAACGTTTTAAGTTTTTTGTCCAAAACCTAATTCAAACAGTCTTTTTCTTCTTTATTAGCTGTGGTAGGACGAGATATCGAGCTCAGCAACGGCTGCGTGATTGGCGCGTTCTGTCCGATCACGAGCAGTGAGACCTTGCCAGAGAACACCGTCATTTACGGTGAGAAGTGCGTGCGGAGGGTGCAGGCCGAGAGGCCGCAGGTAAGCACGCAAGAACACAGTTAGTGTTTGCAGTCAATTAAAGGCATAGGATCATGTGCGCTTCATGCATTTTGTTCATTTCCAATAATAACGCAACTCAAAATCCAAAGGCGAATGTTTAAAACCTGACCTGTTGAAGTTTCATCTCAGGGGCTATATTACACTTTTCGAGAAAGCAGTAGACAAAACATGCACAACCTTGTGATAAAAAAAACACCACTTTCTTAACAGCACTCTTCATTCCAAAAATCAGGCAATTCGGGCGATTCACAATGCAGTGCGCCACCAAGAGTTTGCCATGGAGAGTCCATTTTTCAAGTTTACATTCGACAAAACAAGGCCCATTTGAATGAGTGTCAGTAGACAACTTGAGCTGATATGTTATAGATTGGGGCATAGCGTTCTGCCGCCTTACAAAAAAACACCATATTGATTAGAAGAAAAGAAAAGGGCAAACAGATCCTTTTCTACGCTTACGAAACTACTGACCGGAAAAACTAACAATTTCAAATGTCCTGCGCTGCGAATTTGTCGACCATCTCCCACAATGCACTGGGAAAAATGAACTCTCCTCGGCAAGCTCTAGGTGGCGCACTGCATCGTGAATCGCCCGAATTGACTGATCGTTGGAAATTATCTACATTTCTTGATTTCAAATGACAGCACAAGCCCAATGGAATAATTTCATGGGGTGTCTAGTATGCTACAAGTAAGATCTTTAATCTAAGTAAGCTTTTTGATAATAATTTGGTGGGTTACTTTTCAAATTATCCTGTATGCCATTTTAAGCTTTCATTAACTGCTTGAAAATGTAGGAAGTGTCAAGCTACGTAAATGCATAGTCTCATAAAGAACATGGCCAACAAAGTCCATTAACCTCGTATCAATATGCGTAGACTGGCTCACACCACATGCACGCACCGGCGATGGTTATCAAGCTGAGCATCCTATGATTATGCGCGCTAAGCTGCTTTTTCTGTTTTTAAACCTGGATACAGGCACAGACTCTCCAACTTGACTTCCTGATGAAAATCTTGCCAAACTACCATCATCTGAAGAAGTCGACTCGGCCTAAAAACCCGGAGAAATGAACAAATGCTCATGAGACCTTCGAGTTGTGGAGGAGGAGAGTCTCGAGAGGGACACAAATATTCAAGGTGGACCATTCCTTCAATTTGTTCATGTTGTTATTTATTTTGGTTTTGGAGTTCTTTCAAAGCATTTTGAGCATTTCCCACTTTTTGTTGTTTTGGAAATGCTCTGCTGTTAATATGCATGTCAGCAACCTCTGAGAAGTACTTTGTTATTTTCTCCTGTGTCCCTGGAGCGAAGGGAAATGTTTGATAATTGGGATAATACGCGGATGTAATGCTCGGAAACCTGAATTGACCTGCCTTTTCTACGTCATACATCTACGTCTCTTATGGACAGCTGCCTGCCTTTCATGTGATACGATTCCTTCGCTTGACGTTTGGAAATTTTCGTTCAACTGAAACGTGGAATGTTCTTTAACCCGAACTGAACTTTGCAACTGGAACTTGCATCTAACATCTGCAATGTTGCTTGCCAAAGAGATTCACCCAGAAATCTCAAAAAGCAATGAAATAGTTCTAGCGATTGAATTTTTTTTCCCTAACCCTATTCAATGCAACAGAAGGTGACAATGGTAAAATAGTTGTTGCATCTTGTTGCATTTAGCAGGGTAACTGCGAATAGCACCATGGCAGATACAACAGAATCCACACTTTTGCAGTTTGTTGCATTTAGCAGGGTAACTGCACATAGTACCATGGCAGATACAACAGAATCCACACTTTTGCAGTTTGTTGCATTTAGCAGGGTAACTGCACATAGTACCATGGCAGATACAACAGAATCCACACTTTTGCAGTTTGTTGCATTTAGCAGGGTAACTGCGTAGTGCTAAGGCTGGTGTATAGCGAGTTCACTGCACAGTGCAACAGAATCCACTGTTGCAGTTTGTTGCATTTAACAGGGTATCATCTCAGCTGTGTTGCATTCTGTTGCATTTAGCAGGGTGCCTAGAGAAAACGTGATGAGGGTTAACTGAAAGGTACTCGGGCTTTGGTATGGACAGAGTTGATCTACAAACTATTACTGTGGTATCAGTCTTCTTTTGTTTTTGTTTTTTTAAATTGAATCAACTGAATGTACATATCACATTTGTGATGATATATACGATGGTTTGTGAAGCATTGATATTAAGTTTTGGAGAGCTGCAGCAAATTTGAGGTCATTCAGAAAAAAAGTCATCGAATGTCCGATAACGACCGTCTGAACTCGTCTGCAACATTATTGGATGATGGACAGCCACATTGGCAAGGGTATACATGTACGTAGTTCATAGTAACATCACACCACACTGGCTTGACTTGTGATACAAGCAACATAGATTGCTGTCAGATTGTATAACGCGAGTAATTTAGTTGAGAAAATTGTCTGGGTATTTTCTTACCGTGTCGCGGTGAGTCAGAATGACATCCCGCCTGAGGCCTGAGGGTTGCTAATTATCAGAAGAAACTTGTTAATTTTTTTTTCTCCCGATGACACCAAAAAAAAATCTAAGATTTGTGATCTGCTGAGACATTATGAGTCTAGCTATGTTTTTTTATGGGGTGCCAAATTGTTGATTTCGAACAATTTGTAGTTTCAATGTCACTTTGGGTGTTGCAGTGGGTATATTTATTTGAAGAAAAAGTTGGAACTTGTTTTAAGATGTTCAAGAATCTTAAGTCAGAATCTTGGGCTTTCAGAAGTACTTTTAATCAGGTGTAAACTTTAAAAATGTCATTGCTGAACTGTTCCAAAGTACATTTATTTGGAATTGTTTGTTGCAAGTTTTGGTCATTTTTTTTTTTAATTTATTTTATTTTCTGTAGTTTTATGTCTATCTGTTGACATCGTAAATACCAAATTCTATGAATATTCATTCCTGCGCGGTTACAATATTGGTACATGTATTTGATGGGGTATATTGGTAATGCATGTGTACATTGCAGCGAAACTGTATTAAAATTTGGGTACTCTTAAAGTTGCGTTCCCCATTTTCTTAAAAAAAAATTCAATTAATTTTTGTTCTATTAATTTCAACTTGTTTGTTTGATTCCAACCAATAAACCTCATTCCCCCCCTCCCCCCTTTATTTTGGACGTCTGCAAACCTCTGAAAAAAAAGGGGTTTTGTCTTGGGCACAAATAAATCTGCTATGCGAGCAGACTGGCCCCCAGTCCCTACATTATCGCTATTGACCATTGGGCAGGAACCAGCCTACCCGTGAAAACAGGAATCATAGTCTGGCAGCCAATAACTCAAAATTGTAAGGATTACTCACCAACTAAACGCGGGCCGATTGTTTTACGGTCAAAGTCTCATGCAAAAGTGAATCATTTCTGAATCGCTGGAAAAATAGCGATTTAAAAAAGGGAATCAATTTTTCGGGATGAAACTCAAAAAATTGCACGGGGAATGCAACTTTAAGTGCATGCGAGTGTGGAAGCATCCCGGTCACGGGCTGAATTATTCCAGTAATTATAACCTTGCATTAGTCTGTACACGAGTAGCTTGAAGTCAGTCAAGTAGATTTAATACGCTGCTACCCACTCCCTTATCCCCTGAAGCTATAAGGCTCCTTCCCGTAGTATTTATTTTGTAATTAGTATGTCATACAACCCTTTCAAGGCAACATTACATGATGGAGCAAATATTAAAACTCAGAATCCGTTAGTAATTTGAGATGTTGTCAAATTTTGTCTGTTCGTGTCTCGTGTTTCCCCCGACGGATAAGGGCTGTAGGAACATTACACATGTAACTGTCATACCGGTACGCAGGCCGGAAAGGCAATCCGATTTGTCAGTTTCTCGTCTCCTGTTTCAATGACTGATGTCGGAGACTGATTATATAGCGAGGCCATCAAGCATCAGTCTTTGGTCGTGATAATTTTTTTTGTATTTTTGGATAGTGGGTTCAATCATCCCTATGTGCTCCACAACTTAAACTTTGCTATTGGAAGCTCAAATTCATCCAGAATGAAGACCAAACCACGATGTATGAGTTTGATTCCATGCAGGCAATTCACATAGGATTGATGTGTTTTGGGGTTTTATTAAAAACATGGATTCAATGAGTCTCCTGTGTGAGAAAATGTTGGGCAGAGCCGGCCCAACCTTTTACTGGCATGATTGAAATTCTGAATAGCCCCCTCTGTTGTTGGGGATATCACTGAGGTACGCAGTTGATTTGCTGATCCTCATGCTGTTTGTACATTTATTGCTTTTCTTGAACTGAAATGGAGATAAAGTTGTATTTGGTCTGGGTTATTCTTTAAAAAGCAGATGTGTTATTTATCCATTGTCTTTAGAAAAGCCTAGACTAAAGGAGAACATGCCCTTTCCCCTGAAAAGCAATTTTGGTTTGCAGTTGAAAGGGGCAAAAGCTTCCTCTTCGATTTTTCATGCATTTTGTTCCTTTCCAATAATAAAACCACTTAAAATTCAAAGAAGAGTGTTCGAAATCTAACTTGTTGGAGTTTCAGCTCAGTGGATCTTACACTTCTTGAGAAAACAGTGAAAAATGATGCACAACCTTTTGATCTGGAAACATGATTTCGTCCAAAGTGCTCTGTATTTTAAAAAATCAGTCAATTGACTGATAGTTGGAAATCACCTACGTGTCTTGATTTCTTGTAGATAACAACAAGCCAGATGGAATAATTTCACGCGGTATTAAGTACAGATGTTTTGCTGTAAGTTCATAGAGTCCCATCGTATGACGTCAAAGTACAATGTGGATAGGCTACCATTGCGGTAGGTAAGGCCTTGGTTAGCAACCACGTCACACATTATACAGGCATGAGAATCTGCCTGGAATTCCTGTTTTTTTGTTGTTGCCCAAATGTCTGCATTTTCATTTATTTTGGGCCTGTTTTGGGTTTTTTTTGCCTGATTTCACATCTTTTTTCCTGTTTTTGCACAATTTTCCTGTTTCTTTTCATTGAAGTTTATTCTCATGCCTGATTATAAACTAGAGAGTAGGGCTTATTGTCACATAAAATAACCATAAACCATGAATTCATAACAAACGGCATAGTGGCCACTACCTGTGCAGTGTATGGTTGTTACAATCGTGCTAACCCAGCACTGCATTTGTCTCGTGCAGTTTTTGCCATCCATCACAGCTTTGAAGGCTTGCCTACTACATCTTTGCCTACTACAATGGCGTCGCTGACTTTCCGGTACACAGATGTAGGCAGGGTCATGTGGGTCAGTGAGAGAGCCATACCTGTATATCCGCTCTGTTCACAAGTACCCCCTCACCAGCAAAGAAAGTACAGTTGGGGGTTACCGAACGACGCCATTTTACCTGACTGCAATATTTTGCCACGAAGCGCGGCCACTGCGTGTACATTGTACAAATCCCCTGGTGTACGTGCATCACACACAGGGAACGGTGCGCGCGTCAACCAGCGAATGTATGTGTCCCGCCCATGGGACGTCGTTGCTAGGTAAAAGGGCGCCCTCTTTTGTTGGCGCATGGAGCCCATAGGTCCACAAAGTGTGAGGAAAGTTCATCTTTCATGAATATAAAAAAAAAAATGCCAAGTACCAGGGTACATCCGAGTCTTTGAATTTAATTGAATGTTTAGCACTTGTATACATAATAGCAAATTTGCAGTTTCTTTCAACAACTTGCATGGCATTTTAAGAGTATCACGACTTTAATGAAAATAATGGCATTTTTAAGAGAATAATGTTTTTAAAATAAGTGAAATATAAGCACAACTACAAGGTTTGTTTTTGTGGTTTCCCAGTTTCACATTTCAAAATTTAGATAAATACATTGATAGAAAGGTAGTTTCCTTTTATCTTTGCCAAACTTTCATTTGTGTTTTCAGTTCAATGTTATCTTTCTCTGAAAAAAAAGTTAAACATTTTGTGTAAAACCAAATATGCATTGCAAAGTTCAGAAATGTTTTCAGTCTTAACCCCTATTCAGAGTAAAGAATCATGTTTATTTTTAATTCCAGTGATTCCATATCTTGCCAGGTTTCCAAACAGAATTCTACAGCTAGCTGGTATTTCCAAACAATGCCTTGTTTTCCATTTTGTGTCGGAGATAAAGTCAGGAAACTGGGAGACAAGTGTTGTCTGGAAAGCAACATAGTTTTGCCGGTTGAGGAATGCAAACAAAGTTGATATGGCCAACTGAAAGTTTTTAGACATTGTTTTTTTCTGTTAACCCACTTTCGAAACATTTCTTTTGGGGCGGGGGAGTTTCAATTCCTGAGATTACATTTCTATTTTTGTGGTGTTTTATATTTTCTGCCTGTTTTGTTTCTGCTCCGTAGACTGTAGATTTACTTTTACATTCCAGAAAAAGCTGTCCATTATCCCACTTTCGAAACATTTTGTGTGTGGATTCCTGAGATTACATTATCAAACTTTTGGATATTTTTTTCTTTTTTTTCTGTCTGTTTTATTTTTGAGGTACACTGTAGGTTTATTCTTACATTTTGGGAATTGTTTTGCAAGATTTGTGAAATTCTATATTAGATCACATGCAAAACTTGGAGGGGTTTTTCGTGGCAAATCCGTGAAGGGAGAAACTCCCTCGTTTTGCGTGATAAGCACCTCCCTACAACAGTCTGGAATTTGGGGTATGAGGTGCTAGCACTACTCCCTCCACTACCCCCCTCTCATGCGGTCTTGTAAATGTTGTCTTGTACCGGTAGATGATTGAGGATTCATCGAAATCCTCCGCACTGCTCCAGGATGTCACTGGCTCTGCCTCAACATATGGACAGTGATTGCTGGAGGATTTTGCAAAACTGAGGCAGTGGTTACCCCTCCAAGGACCACATTCAAGAAATAACGGATCGTTTTGGAGGATTTAGGCTGTATGCAATTTTGGAGGATTTCGCAGGATTGAGGTTTCATCCCAGCAAAAATGCATAATTAGGGTTACAGACATGCTGTAGGAAAATACTGTAGGATCATTTGCATTTATCCCAAAAGTGACCGAATTATTATCAACCAGCTTACTTGGATTAAAGATGGTACTGGTACTAAACACCCTGTGAAATTATTCCGTCTGGCTTGCTGTCATTTATAGAAAATCAAGAAATGTAGGTGATTTCCAACGATCAGTCAATTGACTGATTTTTTTTTTAAATACACAGTTCTATGGACGAAATCATGTTTCGTGATTAAAATTGTACATGATTTTTCGCTGTTTTTTTTCCCGAAAATTATATCCGCCAAGCTGAAACTTCAACAGGCTCGATTTCGACCATTCTTCTTTGGATTTCGAGTGGTGATATCATTGGAGATACAAAGTTGTCCTTGCAGTCAAAATCAATCAAGTGACTGTTTTTTAACCCTTAAGAATTCCCATCCCACATTAAGCAGGATTGACTGCCTTGGACTGCTTAAGCAACCTGATACAGCTATGCTTTGACTCTGGGTGAGTGATAAAACAGCTGTGACCGCAACTTGCCTGCTTTGTCTGTTGACCCTGTTTGACTAGTCACAGTGCTTGCTTGACATTTGATCTGACTGGTGGTGACTAGCCTTTGCTAAAAGTGTAGCAGGGGAAGTGGAAGTGAATTTTGGCTGTCTGTGACTGCTTAAATAGCGGGAGGGTTAAGCTGAATGTCTTGGTAGATCACTTTGTTGAAACAACAGTCACACCTCTCCCGTCCAATTTCTTGATTTGCCTTTCTGATTTGTTATTTTTATTCCACTTTGGTACAAATTTAGGAGACGTCGCAGAATGGTGTTGATTAGAATCGAGGATGACATAAGTCTCTTGTGTCTGAAATTGCAATTTGTTACTGTTTGTTGTTTGTTATTTGTTATTTGGTGTTGCTTTTGTTGGCAAATCGAACCTCCACTGACCCATGTTTCCTGTGCGAGCTTGTATCGTCAATAGGCCTTTCTTTCAGTTGCCATGGTAACAAATGAGTGGGAGTAGTTGGCAGTACCTTTTTTCCAATTTGAATGGAAATTGGGAGATCGATACATCCAATATCTTTCATAGGTCACTTGCTGTCACTAACCTGTGGGTATATGCTGTCAAGATACCTCATTGTAGAATTGAACCACAGATAGAGAGAGAACAAAAAAAAATTGTACTGGTTAACATGTTATGTATATACATGTATATACATACCGGTACATGTATATGTGGGTCATTGTATACATATAGGGTCCAAAGTGGGTGATTTTGACTGTCTCCGCTACCTTTGAACTTTGTACTATGCCATTCAAGTATCATTGAGAATGACTTCAGATGATATTTTATTTGTTGGGTAGTTTGCTATTCATAATCACTCTTGGAGGATGACTGCATTAAGGAGAGTGCATCCGGAATTATATTATCATAGATGTCAGATGAAACTGGGACAGGGGAAAAAAAGTGGACCCCAAATTTATAGAATGACCCATATTGCAGTTGAGTTGTACACTGCTGATTCCAGCAATCATCACCCCAACGTTATATCTAGTACCTCTTGTACATGGAAGTACAAGTGTATGCACTGTCCTGTAGACCATTCCAGGCCCGCTATCGCTTCTGTAGCGGAAGCCTCTTTCAATGGCGAAAGCATTGTGCTAGCTATTGTTCAGATAATCCATCATAAGGAAGTTGCTTTGTACATGTACAATAGTGTGCACAATGGTTTCTCCATTGAAGGGGGCCTTGCAAGTGAACAGGGATCATGTGCCCGGATATGCTG